CCATGTGGGTCATTACCTGGGCTGGGGATAGAAAATACGCCAAAGCAGCTGTGACTAGCTTTGCTGAGAAATCACATACGAATGTATTTAATCTCTTTGGAATATTCCTGTCCAAGGCAGAAAACTTGAAAATCTTTCCTGTCTTGCCAGCTTTTTCTTCTTAGCAGTGTATTTCAATAAATCCATTCTGCCTCTGGTGAATATTTTACCCATGCTTCTCTGGCCTACAACCTGATTCTTCCTGGTAACATGAACCCCAACATCATCTTGATCCTAAAGCAAACTCTTCTTTTCACTTTTCCCCCTGTCCTTAGATCATTCACAAAAGAAGAAAAAGAAAGAGTGAGAGAAAGACATAAAGAACTGAGTAGGTCTTTCTAATGATAATTGCTCTTTGCAGATGAAAAACAGCCCTGAAAAGAGAAAAAATAACTTTGTTCTACAGAATTGGATTAGTTTTAAAACTAATTTTTTGATGCAGACTTTGTGGAACAAGGTAGGGCTATTCCTAAAAAACAAACAAACAAATAAATAAAATGTAGAAATACCATATGGTCACCAGTTCCATTCCTGACTGTATACCTCCAGAAATAAGACAGGCACTATATACATCTTTGTTCATAACAGTATTATTAATTTCAATAAGTAGCAAAAAGAAAGAAAGAAAGAACTCAAGATTCTATGGACAGATGAATGAACAAAAGGTACTATATACATTAAATGTGACTAGTCTTACAAGGAAATTTTAACACATGCTACAACATGGATGAAACTTGAAGACATTATGTTAAGTGATGTGAGTCACAAAAGCACAAATATTGTGTGTTTCATATTATATGAGTTGCCTAGAAACAGAAAGGAGGGAGGGAGGGGCCGAGGAGAGACTGGTACAAAGTTTCCGGTGGGGAAGAAGTAGTTCTGCAGAAGAATGATAATGGATGAACAAAAATGTGAATGTGTTTAAAGCCACAGAGCTGTACACTTAAACATTCAAAATAATTTTTGAAAAGCATTTTGTTAGCAGATAAAGGAGCTTATTCTGAATAAGTACTTTCCCGAACCCGTTTCTCTTTCTTCACATCAAGTATTGTCAACCAAGTATTTCTTCTTTTTTTAAAATGATTTATTTATTTATGCATA